GTTAAGAAAAATATGGAAAACGTTATGTGGGTTGTTTTATAGAAGGCGACAAAAGTTCACGATGTCATTGAAAAGGTCAGTAGATGTGTTCATATAACGCTAGACAGTATAAACTTTTTAGTCGCTTAACCAACATTTAAATTAATATTCATTCAAAATTAATAATTAACCGCATGAGATTAATATTTAATGATTCTTCCTCACCTTTACATTATTCATTAGCGGGGTTCGTAAGTTGCCGTGGCAACTGTATCTTGTTTATTTCCTGTTTACAGCAACGTATGTTTAATACAAAGAAACAATTTTGTGCATATTTTAGAAGTGCGTGTGAAGGTGTCTTGGACGTCAGTGATGCCGATTTTCCTTGTTACGTTTACTCATAGTAGAGTTTATTCTCTTTGCATGTTCTGTATGTAGGGTAGTTTGAATAAAGCTCCATATTAAGTTCCTATTCACTCTTCAGTCATTGCTCAGTGCAATCAGTATGTTGGTGCTCATTAATAAAGGCGTTGGTTATGACACCAAAATATTGGTACCATTATTTCCAGTTTTCTGCCGTTCTCCCACTTGCTTGAAAATTTTAATAACCAATAATCATGGCAGCGACAGAAAATTTCAGTTTAACTTCGCTTTAGTAACAATTTCAATTCAACTGTTTTCACAAATTTGGCAAATCTGTGGAAGTCAGAGAAATGTCATTCTCATTAAAGATCTTTAAATAAAATGGCAAGAATATATAGTGGAGAATGTATAGATCTTTACATAATTTACATACAACTCTTCCTCTAGTATCTGAGATAAAATTTAAACTGGTGTCTGTTTGGTATAGGCTGTTTGCGTGACATTTGAGGTTACTCGTTCTGAGTTATAGGGGGTATATAGCAAAGTCAATCATACAAAAAAATTGTGTGTTCATTTTGTTGATTCATCATACGATTCCGTCAGGATATTACATGTGTTATAAATATGTATAATAACATTTTGTGAAAGTGTCCCAGAGAAATTGCTAAAACAATTGTAATTTCACGAAATTCTTGAGAAATTGTCGTGTAAAAATTAGTGGATATTTGTTGATGATACACAGCATGCACACATACATATTCACACAGAAAAGGAAAACAGATTTGAAATATAATCAAACAGGAGGCATACCTGTGTGTAATGTATTACTGTTCATTTAAATTCAAGTCAAGCCCTCAAATTTTTTCCTATTTTCTCAAAAAATAAAAGATAATAATCAGTTGGGAAAGCCCTGTTTTTTTACGATAATATTATATATATATATATATTAAACAGTAATAAATGGGACAATATGGTAGAGTGGCGTTGATATATGTGCTTTCCGCCAGACACACTCTGTGATACCGTCTCTCCATAAATGGACAGCCTTAGTAATAACCTGGTAGGATTCTGCATTTGAAATGTTGCCGGGGATGTAAAGGCTTGGGAGGGGGGGTGTTTGGGAGAAAACGTATCTTTTGTAGAGTGCTGGGCATCAGATATTTTATGTGATTCTCTTGTAAAGTGAATTATCGATACTTGTGAAGTGTCAGGTGTTTCAAGATCACTATCATCTGTGGTAATATTAAAATTTCAATATCCTTTTTTTTTTACTAAAAATTAATTGTTTTTTAGTTTTTCTCAATATTCAACCATAGTGGTTTGTCGAAATGAATAATTACGTAAAATTACTGTCACCACATGTCCATATTGCCGACAGTGATGTAATTCATTAACTGAGCGTTTGTTTGTTGTGTTTTTCCTTCCCCACCACATATTACTATAACCCATACAGCTGTGCTTCCACATTATGCAAATAAGGTGTCTGTCGGTCTGCCAGGTGCAGCCTGCCGATACGACTTGTTTATAACGCCGTCTCACCCAATGTGTTTAATCCTTCTTTGGTATGAATCGGCCCAATTTTGAATTGCACTCCATCAGGAATCATCAGGTCTTGTCCCCAGTCAACCGCGTGCCGATTTGACGCTTATACATGTAATATCCCTCCCTCTTAATGTCCAGCTTGCATGTATTCAAGAAGCTAGGTGGTGGCTCGAAGGGGAAATACATTGTGGTACGTAAGACACATACTTGTTCATTTCACACCTCAATTTCAGATTAATATTTTAAATTTTAAAGAACGTGACCACATTTTCACCAACTATAATACATTATGTCAGTTAAACTGATATATTTGTTTTCTTATTTGAAAAATTCATCATTGAATTTTGCATTTTATAAAAAATATCCCTCCTTAAATGTCTGAATGCAGATCGTGTATATGAGTTAACAGATATTTGAAGGTATATAATGTTTATCATCACTATGTCCTTAGCAGATTATAATTCTCACTCCCTGCTTGGGGATTTTCGCATGGTAAATTCGTTAATTACAGTAAATTTATTAATTTTTTACAGGATAATTTCTTGAGTTCAATCTTCACTACATACCTGTGCAAAACCTAAATTTTGACCTTGACATTTAATTGAAGTGAGTTTTATATTCAAGCTCATGGTTGGGATAAGGTTATCCACGTTTTAGCCTTGTAACCACGGAAATCATGACAATTTATCATCAGCCGCATACCATTGTATTATTAGATAAGATGGATATTCTACAAATTTGTGCTAGCATTATATTTACCAAGCAATCTACACAAGAAATTGAGAAATATGATTATCCTGCGATACAAGATCTGTTTTTTTTTTTTAATTCCATCAATTTTAGAATGTTAAAGCCAGACTGCGTTGATTTCCTATAGTGTGCTACTGAATTATTAATGAGTGCAGTATGTGAAACCTTGCATATAAACTGAGGTTTCTGTTGTTTTTTTTAAATTAGGTAAAAGACACCAAATTTTGGGTGTGGTTTGTAAAATATACTCTACATATTACCTGAAGGTGGAGTGAAAAAGCAGTTTTATATTACACTTTTTTTTCATATATCTGTTTATGCAGATGTTCACGCATAAAAAAATACAAGCAAAACAGGTCAGCATAAGTGTTTTGTATTCACAACATTAGTGTGGATTTTAAACATCCTGTATCCTTTTAGACACTTACCAGTTTCTAACACATAAAAATGACTTGAAGCTATTTCATATGGTTTACTAGCTGGGATGCAATGGAGTTTAGTTTACAATTTTTATCACAAATATTTTTAAGGAGGAAACAATTCATGTATGTGTTTTGTTTATATTTTACCTTTAACCTTTGGATATAAACTCATCATCTTTAAACCTACCATAATTTTTTTTCATAATTAAAAACAAATCTAAGAATGTAAGTTACTGTTCAATACTATTCATTACAATGCAATACAATTACGATGCAACACATTACAATACAATACAATACAATACAGGAAATGACCACTTATTTATCTTGTTTATGGTGAGAATAATGTTGGGATAAAATATTATTAAATGAAATATAACAGAAATATTACTAATACTTTGTTTGAATGCTAATTGGTCTAACCAGTCTGAATTTATGTATGTAAACAGCATGCTGATTGGTCTAACCCGTCTGAATTTATGTATGTAAACAGCATGCTGATTGGTCTAACCAGTCTGAATTTATGTATGTAAACGGCATGCTGATTGGTCTAACCAGTTAGATAATGTTTTTGTATGTTAGCTTTACTTTTATACAACAAATAATTATCTATAACAGAAGCAGATAAAAGTGGGATAATGGTTGAACATGAGCTTATAGGAACTATTTTGAAAACAAGTTTGCAAAACACTTTATTATTTATTAATCAATTTTAATGAATTTTGTTGATGGGGAAAATTACAAAATTTTGTATGGGTGATAATGGTTCAGAGAACAGTGAACATTTTTTTCTTAGGATCTTTAGTCCCTTTGACTAAAGATGCCAAAATGTTGACCACATGAATGTTGTCAAATTGTCACATCACAATATTTTATCGCAACAAAATTAACAGTTGAAGTTGAGATTATTAACCAATGAATGAGCACCTTACATAATTTATGCCTGATCTTCTATGAAACAGTGTCTGGTATTGGCTGATGTTTTTTGATTAGAGATTATTAACCAATGAATGAGCACCTTACATAATTTATGCCTGATCTTTTATGAAACAGTATCTGGTATTGGCTGATGTTGATGATTAGAGCTTTGTGATTTTCAAACCTTGTGTTCATTCATTCATTCTATGCACATCATGTGATCTGATCGTTATTCAAGGCATGTCTTCCTGGATTTGTTACCTCCACCTTGCAGCAAACATTAGAGAATGACTATAATCCCCCTAAGTGACACTCACACATGTGACTTGATTGGTTTCTGTATGCTTGCAGGACATCTCAAGCTCATCAAGGCTGGACTCATTGATAATCGGTGTGAAACTGGGTGTCCACTTAAAAACAAAGCTGTAATTGCGAGGAATTTATTCTGTACTGGATTCAATAAATTTCCTGTGCTTCTCTGCGGCAATGCATGAAATACAGAGTGGGTCTTGTTAATGCCGTGATAGTCTGTGAATATGCTTCATAGATAGATGTCATGTTGTTGCAAATGTGAAATGTAATTTATGCTCAAAAATAAACTTAATAAGGATAGAAGAGACAACTGACAGCCTAGGATTGTTGCCTTCCACAAAAATATTTTTTTTAATTAAACAGTTTAAAACGGTGCACCGTTATGCTGCATCCATTCAGACCAAATATGAATATGGAACATTTTTACAACTGATTTTTCTACCACAGAATATTGCCATGGTAATGGGTACTTACAATAGTATGCTTGTGTTAATTTGTAGGATTTTTCAAACTTCTGAAAACAAATATAGAAATAATGATTCTGCTATAAAGAGTTGATTTGGGGTTTCGAAAGTTTTGTTTAATAAAATGTGTGTGTTTGCTGAAAAGCCTGATCACTTTGTATTTTGATGGACATTGCTGGAATTTAAACAAGTTTTGTTTGGTGCAATTGCATTAAACTTTAATAGTAATTTTCTGTTTTGCTTCTGTCAGGAGAGAGTGTCGAGCAGTCGTGAAGACCTTTCACCTGAGATCGCGGCCAAGAAGCTCCCAGAGCAGAATGGCGAAGAAGAGGACGGCTACGAAACAGAAACCCCACTGCCACCACCTATGGAAATCCAGAGTTTGCAATTCACTCAAGTACTAACACAAGAGGAAGCTCAGCGACAGGTGAGAATGGTTCTGAATTTGTGAATAGTGCTCATAGAATGAATTCACAACATGTGACTAACAACTTTTTAAATTTGATGAGATAGTAATTACTTTAATGTATGTATCGCAATAATATTTTCACTGTGGAAAGCATCGTATGTTCGCTAGTACCGTCCGTTTGATCATATCGTCCGTTTGATACCTCAGTGTTTATGCACACACAAGCATGAGAAGATGCCACAGTTTCTGTTACAAAAGCTACGAAGCACTGTCTATATCCGCTGTGTTGTCAAAGAAATATTTAATTTTGTTTGTCTTCAACGTTGTTTATGCACACTGTTCATACAAAGGTACAACCAAGGATAAAATAGTGTTGCATTTTGTACACAATTATCATACACTAATTCTATATTAGATACATGTGTTGTATTAATATAATAAGTTTTGCTGTTTCTAATGTATCCCATTCACTAATTGATATGAATACATAATAACAGTAACATAAATCATACACTAATACACTCGGCGTAGCTGAGAAAAATGATTTCCATGGAAATGTGTTGTTTTTCTGCCTCTTAATAGGTATCATCAGATCATCTATTTTGATTTTAAAAACACTAATGAAATAGAACTTTGATGTCAGTTCCACACTTTAGAGATGACTATGCTGGATACACACCTGTTTGATGTGCATTTTCACTAAATTTAACTGCCAACCACCTTCCAGTAGAAAGGAAGCACTATTGTAGGTTTCAACTTCTGAGGCATAGTTTGTATTATATTATTCATAATGGTGCGGGAATGTTGTTCTATTAGCAGATTTTTTACAAAATATGTAAACAAAATCCGCAAATGTTGAACAAATATTTGGCAGGAAAAAATATGATATGGTGAATAATTGTCGTAGTTTTAAAATCATTACTCATAACATGTCATGTTTATCACCTGCAATCTTGTTTGTGAAAAAATGCAACACTATTTTCAGTGTCGTTGGTTGTACCATGCTGCTTACAATGCAACACTATTTTCAGTGTCGTTGGTTGTACCATGCTGCTTACAATATTGTGCTACATTTTATTTGTGTTTTTTGCTCACATGATCACTTGTTCATTTTCTCCTCGCCCGCCCGCTGCTGTTGTCTCCCTCATCCTTCCACGGCTCGCAACAGTCCATTTCTTCCATCAAATCAACCGGTTCATCATCAGACCTGGCCAGCTCCACCGACCTGGCAACCGAGATTGAACAAATAGTCAGGCAAAGAATGGTATGTCTTCTGAGCATGCTCAGTTTTTCCTGACCAGCATGAGTGGCAGGAACATGTATCCCATGATTCTTTGCATCTGGGTAATACCATTATTTCTTGGAACATCAGGGTCAAGCTATGTTCAAGTATGCACACGACTTTACATACTATACTTCCTCAAGTTTTAAATACTGTGTTTTCGGGCTGGTTGATAAGGTTATTTTATCTTATTTTTTCATTACTTACTGTTAATTTATTAACAATTGATCACAAAAATTAATAAAAATTCAATCAAATAGGCAGTAACCATGTCAAGTGTTTGGGATCACAAAGAATTTGGCATATCATTAAAATACTCAACAATCTCTAAACACATGTACTGCAAAATAAATCAATAACTTGATAACATTTCTGAGAAATTGAATAAAATCACCTGTATATTTTTGAAGAATGTTGAGACTTAAAATAGTTCATAATAGATATTTTTCTGTAATTTCCTTAGTAATTTTTGACCAAATGAACAAATTGAGGTCAAAATTTGTCAAAAAATGATGGAAAAAATTGACACTTGTATATTTTTTGAAAATTTGATGTTGGAAGATCATTGCAAATCGTGACTGTTTAGAATCCTCGTCATATTTTAATGTATCTCATGATGAAACATCTTCTAATTTAAACTGAACGAAATACTGCATGTATCTAAATTTACAACTTGAAAAGGGATGTTCAGGAATAGATGATGTCCTGTAAAGTCGTGATGCGTTTGTATAGACGAGCACGTACCCTCCTTCCTCGTACACTCTAGTTTGTAATTTTCATTCTTTCCATAGTCTGTAGCTATAGCAATAACAAACATAGCCTAATTCTTATAAATTTTTTCTGTGTGTAATTTGCAAAAAATATTTTTTTTTTACGTTGTACAGAAGGTTATGCAATTTGTAACAATATGTCATGACATGTGCAGATCAACAATAATGAGTTTCATGTCTTCATCATAGTATACCAAATGTAAATCATATTTTAACACAGTGTTGGCCAAATTTTAAATCACCGGTACCAGTGTGTTTTGAATTAGAAGGGATAGTTGTGAAGATTTAAATTTAGATTATTATCGGTTGTATCATCAACAAAAATGTCGAAACCCATATAGATGGCTTGTTATTGTGGTCAGTGAGCTATATCACCATGACAACCATAACATGTTAGTCTGCATGAGACAGATGGAATTCATATCATTTTAATTTTCATCTAATGTCATGGAAGTTGCATGTCCTTCGTTTTATACACCCTTGTCTGTAGTACTAGAACTAACAATGTAGACTTGTTTATAACTGTATGTAGTGTTTACATCATTTAATATTAAAAATACATATTGCTTTTTTACATAATTTAACATTAATGTATTTATTTATTTTAAATGTTGTGTTTACAGGAAGTTATATTTACATCAACTCATACTGATATTCGGTCACATTTTACATTTCATGTTTTGACAATTGTTGAAAATAAGGCAAACAGCTCTTGTAAAATAAAATATAAAAACTTCCAAAGAGATGTCCCTGGAATTTGTGATTTTTCAAAAATTTTTGTTGAAGGGAGTTGAATATTCCAATTATTTTATATGTGTACAAACATGTATGCTGTTAGAAAATATAAATTTAAAGAGAATTTGAAAAAAAAGTCTTGATTTCTAACTCTATCAATACCATCGCCTGCTGAAAGAAAGAAAAAAACAGTGTCAGCAGATGTTGTTGTTAATGAAATCATACATGCAAGGCGGTACTCCCATGGTGCATCCCTATACAAGCATCGTTGAAATTGAAGGAATGCTACTTTTACTGAAACACACCCAAAAAAAATGGTGACATCACTTACACTGCAACACAAAAAATGGTGACATCACATACAATGAAACACACAGAATGGTGACATCACTTGCACTGCAACACAAAGAATGGTGACATCACTTGCAATGAAACACAAATAATGGTGACATCACTTGCACTGCAACACAAAGAATGGTGATATCACTTGCAATGAAACACAGAATGGTGACATCAGTTGCATTGCAACGCAAAAAATAGTGACATCACTTGCAATGAAACACAAAGAATGGTGACAGCATTCACTGCAACACAAAGAATAGTGACATCACTTGCACTAAAACACAAAAAAATGGTGACATCACTTACACTGAAACACAAAAAATGGTGACATCACTTGCACTGCAACACAAAGAATGGTGACATCACTTGCACTGAACACAAAGAATAGTGACATTACCTGCACTGAACACAAAAAATGGTGACATCACTTGCACTGAATACAAAGAATAGTGACATCACTTGCACTGAACACAAAGAATAGTGACATCACTTGCATTGAAAAACTTATGTTCCACTGACATGTTGGTGAGATGCATCATGGGAGTACCATAACGTACTTATGGTTTCATTTCATATCCACAGCATCTCAATGTAATTTGAATTTCTTTTAATTGCATTATCCGGTTGTAAGTGGTCAAAAATTTAACAAAGAAATTATAGAAAAATACATAACAGTGTGTCAAATCTTGCACCTAAATTTTAGAGGGTAAAATAAGGGAATTCCCATTGTGCTATTCAGACGCGAGTTTGCATTCCGTGCAACAATTACAAGATTTAGAATTTGTGTACAGCAACAGGAAGAAGATCTGGAGGCAAGTCAGGAAGCAGACGAAGTAGATGCTGAAGCCAATCTTCTGAACGAAGAGGTGGATTCTGAGGAAGAAGAAAAGCAGGAAGAGTTGGAAAAACAAGAAACTGAGGCAACTGAAGAGGATGCTGAGAATGAGGAGGAAGCGAGGGGGCCAGTCACTGAAGCGGAAGAAATTGCTCTGGCTGAAAAGAAGAAAAAAGATGCTGAGCAGAAACGACAGTAAGTGATTGGCTGAAGCTCTGTCACATGACATTGTCAGCCCATGCATAGATCGCTCATCTTTGCCTTAATCATTATGTATACGGACTAATTTGTTTTGTCAACTTCCAGATTTATTCTTCAAGAGTTGGTTCAGACGGAAATAGACTACGTAGCAGATCTTGGAAAATTAGTCGAGGTAAGCTAATCTGCATGGGGACAATTTTGATTGCCATAACAATAACTATGTAAAACTACCATGAGGGGAAATATTTTGTAATAATAAAAAAAATTCACTGTGCTCCTTAAAGTGCCTGTGAAATGGCTGCTATTTTCACGCCTAAAATTATCCCTTGATACATAAATATTATTAATTTTCATGTTTCTAAGCATGAATTTTTTTTTTTAAGTGAAAAAATGTGTTTTAAACTCTACGGCAACTTAATTTTGTGTATTTTAAAACGAGGCTCCTCATTAGCTTCTCATTTGCATACAGAAATTCCCCTTATGACGTCAGAAGGGGAAGTTGCATGGCAGCTTGCATTGCCGATACGTGTAAATAAGGCACATTTCTTGTGCAGTTTTCTCGTCTTTGACTATATTGTCACTGATGTACTTGTTCGTAGAGGAAGAATGGACCATAATGAACACATAATATCAATTTTTGTTGCGTGGGGTTGAGTTAGATGCGAAATATGTTCGTTCTGGTGTAGCTGGTCACCGTGATCGTCACCGACACCGGCGCACGTTTGTACACTGTTGCTGGACAAAATAGAATTTGACGTCGGAATTATCTCGTTATTTAGCAGGTTACTAGGCACGTCACTACACTGTTTTATTTCATCGATCGTCTGAGTAAAACTTTCAAAATTAAAATAAAAGAGAACATATTTTGACATTCTAAAGATTAGACTATAGTGATCGCTATGAAATAATTAAAAAAACGACAAATCACAGTTACTAAATAAATGACAGCCGCGTGGAAATAAATTGACATTTTGTTGAAATAGGTGAACACGTCGGGTCACGGCGAGGACAAGTGCGTTAAAAGCGGCGTTTAATTGGATAACAAAAATAATCAAGATCGACACACATACAGATAAATTCAGAGTGGATTTTAGTTAGCGTGATCCATGGCGTGATTGTCATAATTATAACATCGTATTAAAACTTTATTTGGTGGAAACACATTGACCAAGCCCGGATTCTCATTTCATAAGTTATTACGCAGATCAAGCTGCAAGCATAGAGGTAAAAAAGAAGAACAAAGGTGTGAATTCGACATTCAACACAAACCACCAAACAATTCAGAAACATTTAGCGTTCGAAAATGAAAACAATTAGCAGTGTGTAAGGGCTGTGTAATTTCCTGTTTGTCCGAAGCTTCGTTTTCGTGTCACTGTCAAAATTATTGCTACCTTTTACTTAACAGGGGCTAAATGGTCTCTATAAAACGATAATCAGGATAGCAAAAAAGTCAACTCATTTGAAACACTTGCCGAATGTTTCTCTCTCTTCTGAAATACGCCTTGGTGATCATGGGCTGGTCCAGAATCTATTTCTATCAAAAGTGTTGCGCCAGGTTTACGTTGTCAGCGTTTCTCTTTAAACCTGGTTGTTGTTTTTTTATGGACGAGGACATTTTTAAAAAAAAAGAAAAAAGAATCTGAGGTTAAGTGATGTCCCACCTTTGGATCGATTAGAAACGTGTGAATACATACACTATGACTATACATTTCACTGCAACTGCCCACAACACAACATCTAAAAACTCTCTCTCAAAAAAAAAAAAAAAAAAATAGACAAAAAAAAAAAGAGCGTCGGAAATCCGGAAACAGTCGACCGTTTCACGATAGGTGGGCGTGGCTACAACACGAGAAATATCCTAAATTTACTTGGATAGGAGCAATTATTTCAAATCAATAACTGCCCATTTCAGTGGGACACAGATCTAAAATGGGAAACGTGAGGGTGGGCATTGCACAGGCACTTTAAATCACAGACTTTCCCTTTGACCTGTGTTTTCTAGGGTTACATGAAACTGATGAAGGATGAGCCGCTGCCAAGTGGACTTGAAGATGGCCGAGACAAAATGGTTTTCGGAAATATTCGTCAAATTTATGACTGGCATAAAGAGTATGTCCATTTTTTTCTTTGAATTTTTCAGAAATGTTAATTTTTGACCAAAAATACAGGAACTAATTTTTCTTGCAGGTTTTGTTGAAAATTTATTAGAGAACAAATTCAATATTTTATGAATTAAATATAATATTTCAAACATACAGTAAAGGTGAAATGATTGGTTAAACGTCAATGAACAGTGCCCTCTATAGGTTGCAACTCATCAATGGACATGTTCAAGTTCTGCCATTTTACCTTGGAAACGTTCCAATTTCATCTACGTATGGGGGTTTGATTTTGCCGTGTAATGTTCAATAGCTCATCAGAATGCTGGACATCAGAGAAACTAGCTAATAAATTGCACAAGCTAGAAATCAACTCCCAATTCTCACATGGAAACTAACTGATGGCGCTCTAACTCAAAACTAATATGTCAAGAACTTCCCAAACCCTAATCCATCTACGTTTCATTCTATGAGGTGATTTACATATCCAGTCTCTAAGCATAGTTTGTTAAAAAAGTCATCATTTTATAAACAAACTTTTTATTTTGTAGAACATTTTGCAAAGAGATAGAAAGCTGTCAAGAGAATCCTGAAAAACTTCCAGCAATTTTTCTTAGATATGTAAGTATATGAAATTGTATATCATTCTTGTCATATGCAGGGTTTCCTGCACTGATTCACAAGGGTGGAGCTATCTTGATTTTCAATTGTTTAGCTCCGCTGTCGACTTTGTCGAGCGGAGCTTATCATATGAGTGATTGTTCGTCGTCGTCGTCCGTGTCAATGTTTTACTTTTTCGACTTCTTCTTGAAAACTACAAGCCTGAATGCTTTGATACTTGGTGTATATGTACCTTGAGTAGACCTCTCTTAGATTTGTTCATTTCATGATGATATCTTCAATTCTCTAATTTTGGTGAATATTTTTGTAATTTTTGGTAAAAAGTGATATTTTTGACTTCTTGTTAAAAACCAATAGTTCAATTGCTTTGATATCACATATATAGATACTACATGTAGACCTTTCTCAGATTTGTTCATTTCGTGATGATATCTTCAATTCTCTAATTTTGGTGAATATGTTTGTCATTTTTGGTAAAAAGTGATATTTTCGACTTCTTGTTAAAAACTGTAAGTCCGATTGCTTTGATACTATACATATTGTTCATTTTCTAATGATGTCTTCAGTTCTTTAATTGAAATGTGCATTGCTAACAGCGGAGCTATCTCAGCCGTTAGGCTGCTTGTTTTTGTATAATTTCTGTTCATCCGCTTGTTGAATGTAATATATTGGGGGGGTGACACAGATGGTGTATACAATATGACATTTGTGCAAATATATATTTTTATTTTAATAATAATTTGACTGTTTTTATTGTAGGAGAGGAGACTACAGATGTATGTTATATATTGTCAAAATAAAGCCAAATCAGAGTATATAGTTTCAGAATTTGAGAATTTCTTTTCTGTAAGTAAATGTTTGTTCTGATATGATATGATATATGATATGATATGATACAGTGTGTGATATGATATGATATAATATGATATGATACAATATATGTTATAATATAATAAGACTGGTTTATATATAGTGGCTAACATGATATTAATGTTGATGTGTCATGCAATGTGTTGGTCTTAATGTCACACTAGATACTCTCACTAACTTGTTTATATTCTAAAATTGTGTATAGAGTATCACATTGGTCTATCCGTTTACTTGCTTAGTACCGTCTTAGAACCAGGATAACACAGAAATCATGTGACAAGGACATTTTTGTATTTCAGTCATTGGAGTTTTAAATTAATAATTTCACTAAAATCAGCTGTTATAAGCTCTTTATTTCATATTACAGCTCAGGGATATTTCAGTATTTAAATATATGCATTATGCAATCAGTGACATTGCCTTTGGTGTTCAGCTTTTCATGATTGCCAAGTTTAAATCATTGATGGATTGATTCACAGCATAATTTTTAATATATTTTTATATTTTTTTCAGGAATGTAAAGCAAAATTAGGACACAAATTAGCTATATCTGATCTGCTTATTAAGCCTGTACAAAGGATTATGAAATATCAACTTTTAATCAAGGTGAGTAAGGAACACTGATAATCTTGACTTTAGTATATTCAGTTTAGCTTATGCTTACATAAATGACAGGTGTGTGCCTGGTTATATTAAAGCGGGGGAGTCGTCACCTACGCATGCGTCAGGTGGCCATAGCGTGTCATTGTTTACACAAGCGTCTACCCATGAGGCTTTGTGTTCTTAACGTGTGTTGTTATCATTGCTTGGGACTCAATTCCCGCGCGTGTGCAGTTGACGACCCTCTCGCTTTAAGTCATATTTTAATGATTCAGTATATAATAAATGCAATATTTGGGTTGTATGCTTTTAATAGAACAAATATATTTGTTTGTTTTCCTCATAGTCTTCATCCTTTCTTGAAATGTTTTGCTGTAGAAGGAGAAACGTTCACTTGGTTTAATTATGGGGGTTTTTACATTCACTGGTTTTTGAACGAAGCAATACATTTTATTGTTAAATATGAATATTTACTGGGTTTTAGTGTAGTGCGTTTATTTGTCTGTGAAATAAAACTAATAAATATTTGAACCCTGTACAGTATATATTCACACTTTTAAACCAAATATAATCAGGGGAATATATCTGTCTGGTCTGCTATGTTGTTGGCATGGTAACATAAATAATAATGCAGCAGTACTGACATTTTTTTTTCAAATTACAATTAACTTGATGGCTGTCTGCAATCAAGTGTTGAATAATGCGTACAGAAATACTTTCATCATGGTAAATTAAATATTGTCAACTTATAGAAAACTGTTTGTATTTATACTTCAATGTCATTCAAGTACCTTTGATAACAAATGATTTTAATGTCATGATGAAATTAGAAAACATCCCAATCTTTCTTTGATATATGTATGCAAAACTAGATGCTGGTGTAGTCCCTCTGTTTTTAGCTCCGCTGTCGACTTTGTCAAGCGGAGCTTATCATATGAGTGATTGTCAGTCGTCGTCCGTGTCAATGTTTTACTTTTTCGACTTCTTCTTGAAAACTACAAGCCTGAATGCTTTGATACTTGGTGTATATGTACCTTGCG